TTCCTGAAATCTCTCCATTCCAATTGCTGAGATTTAAGAAAGCAAAACACTGTGATGCTTACAATACATCTGCAGAAGTGGGCAAAACTGTGCTAACACTAACACACACATTTCTCAATAGCAGTCTTCATAGAAATCAAGGACATCTCCAGGTGACAGCCACGGTTTCTCTGCCTCCCAGCATTTTTAAGGTAACTGTGAATAATGAGTGACCCTGAATCTGTCTGCATTAACAGAGACCCGACATTCTTTTTACACCTTCTAGTGCTACAAATAGAAAAGGTAAATACACTGGGCTTTGTGAGCTCCAAAATGTCAAATCCAGAAAGCAAATCCCCACTATTTTGTTTAACCGATAAAAATGTGACTCATTACAGATTTTGTTAAGTGATTGGATTTGCATTAGGTCCTGACGCTTGTCAGATCTGTGTTGAAAAATTATTAGAAAACAGTTTCACAGATGAGGCATCTTAGCTGCAGATGTCCTACTACGAAAATCTGTTAGCACTGTTTTCAGCAAACATAAACTAACAACAGGAAAAGCTCAGCTAGTTCAACAAAATATAGCACATATACCATGCTAGGAGATTTTAGGTGCCAAACAGAATGTGCCATATTGATCCTCATGTTCTGTGGAGGCTTCATTGCAAGGTCACGTGTACTCCTTAATTCATGTAGAACAACTGCAAAACTTAACTACCAGCCGATTTTACGGCACAGAGTAAAAGAAAGTTTAGCTACTTTTGCTTCAATATCTGGGATCAAGTGACCCAGATTGACTGGTCACATAGTACATAAATCAGAAAACTCTCAACATCACATCAGTGAAACAACAGAGCCACTTTAAGAGTTCTGTGTGTGGCTACAACAAAAAAAAACATTTTGGAGAAATGCTTACCTAAATGTAGTAAGACAGCTTCTTTGCTTGACCAGTGTTTCATATCATATAGCTGGAGTAAGATTTGGATATTCTTTACCGCTGTCATGAAAACTGTCTGCTAGAGAGCCTTAGCTTATTAGTTTTGCAACGAAAGAAACAAAATCAAGATTTTCAGACAGTGACAGAAGTACCAGGGGTCCTGCCCCGACTTACTTATAAAATACCATTGAACAGATGACCCTCCTGATTTTCAGCATGCTTACTAAGCACTGGGAAACCACTGGGAGAAAGATACTAGAAAGGATGTCAAAGTGTAATACTTCAGACAGCCACAAATGCTCTCTCCTCCTCAGAAAATAAATACAAAACAAAGGGAAGACAACGGCTGGTTAATTCACTGTCTGAGTCAGCTGTTGCCAAAGGTAACCCTCAGTCATTGACTTCAGTAACCAGCTCGACAATAATTCAGTCGCATTTCAAAAGTGCCCCTTAATTCTGAAAGTTTCAATTTTGACAGTGGGTAGGACACAGACTGTGCTTAGTACAGAGCATCTTACAGCTTTTAATGGGAGACTGAAGTTTCTACAGAACAGATTAATGAAGTCGTAAATTTTAATACCAGAAAGGGCCATTATGGCAATTCAGTCGGACTTCTCTGAGTTCTGAGAGGCCGCCAGTGAACGTTGCTTGCATGGAGCCTGTAACTTACAGCTGAGCTAACACGTGTCCATAGGCAGGCTTTCAGTCTTGATTTACAGACTGGTGTGACAGTGAACCTATCACATCCTAGATAAACTGCTTCACAGTTAGTTACCTCAGATTTCAGTTCTCTTTTTTTTTTTTTTTTCATTTCAGCTTCTAAGCATTGTATTTCATTATGACCTTGCCTGTTAAACCACCCTTTCTCCCCAGGAATCATAGTTAGTCAAGCTGAGCTTACATGGAGTAAGGCTCTATTTAAGAGTTTCTTTCGAACCTATCACATCCTAGATAAACTGCTTCACAGTTAGTTACCTCAGATTTCAGTTCTCTTTTTTTTTTTTTTTTCATTTCAGCTTCTAAGCATTGTATTTCATTATGACCTTGCCTGTTAAACCACCCTTTCTCCCCAGGAATCATAGTTAGTCAAGCTGAGCTTACATGGAGTAAGGCTCTATTTAAGAGTTTCTTTCCAAGAGTGTGAGAGAGGAGAAACACA